CTCTGGATGACAAGCTGCTGAACCAGTCATCCCCAGCCTCTTCTAAGTTGCCCCTTCCTTACAATAGCTTGGCACATAAACCTTCCTTTCACGTCCAGTTGCACTGCACAGTGCCCTGAATGCCAAACCTGATTTTTTTTCCCCCATTTTTTCCTTCTTGTCTTTTCCAAGTGTTCTTGTCTTTTCCAGACATTTCACCACATTTTTATTTTTTATTTAATTTCTTATCTACTTCTATTAATCCCCCCTTGCAAAGAAAGCCAGCCAAGGTGTCTGCCATTGGGCTGTAAGAGCTGTATTGCCACGGCTGGTTTGAGAGCCAGGGGAGCAGAGGAGAGGTTGGAGTCGTGGGCAAAGGACGTCCTTCCACAGAAAATAGTTAACGCAGCTTTGTCAGGGGTTTTGTCTGGGAAAGGAGAGAAAATAGGGGAGGAATAAATGCAGCAAGTAGCGGGTACTACCTAGAAATGAGAAGTAGAATAAATTAGTGGGCACTTTTAAATGACTGTCCACAACTTTATGTGGAAAACATGCTGGGTCTGTGGTGGTCTCTAAGGTGCAAAATACATGCCCAGCATGCTGTCCTGACTGGAATATCATAGATGATGCTTGATCTGAAAATTAACTCCCTACTGTTGTGGTTTCTTTCTTAAATTGGATGTTTAGACTTAAAACTCCTATTCAAAGTGAACTTGCAAGCGCAGGGTACAGAGATATTGTGGAAACTGACTGTAACAGCTTTCAAAAGAAAAGGTTCCTGCAACTTTAATTTAAATACAACAAATATTTGATTGAACAACTGGCCAGCCATGATTTGGTTGAGTCTGTTGAGCCTTTTTACAAGCCCCAACTCAGACCTGGCTAGTTCCCACTTGGGTGATGTGTGGCTTTTCTGGTTAACTGTTCACTTAACGTCATCATAGGTTTTTTAATCCTGGTTGTTTTTGCAGAAACACGTAGGTAACTTCAACAGGCATACTACATGGACAAATTACTGTAGACCTATGAAGGAGAATCTTGCAACAGGTTCTCATCTGCCCTTTTCAACATACCTTAGTGATGCCTTCAAATTTTTAATGTGACTTATTTTGTCATTTGACCCTAATTTTGATTTTCTTATCAGTTGCACTATGACAAGAAAATACACAGGGGTAGACATGTGCACACATAAGGATTCATACAAGAAGAAAACCACTTTATGTTAATGTTTTGTGTGGAGACCAAAGATCCTGATTACTGACCAGTTAACATGAAAATATTTCAGGTTTAAAATATTTTTTTATAATAATACCTGTGGCTTCTCAAACGTTTCTTCTGTTAAGCTCAAAACCCCACAGCTCTTAACAGATTTATTTTATGCATTGGCATTAACAGATTTTAATAGAAAAACTGAAACAAATACCTCATATCACAGTGGTAAAAATTTATACATCTTATAAAGGAATTTAATTTCTGTATGTAGAGCAGAAATTTATACATTGCTTTTAATCAATAAAATTGGTGCAGTTCTTATTTTAAATTGGCCTCTTTTCAGCCTTTTTTGGGGGTTTTGGTTTTTTTTTTTTGGTTGGGTTTTTTGGGGGATTTTTTGGGGTTTGTTTTTTTTTTTTTAAGCTGCCTTTTACATAGAATCCAAAAAATCAAAAGGGTCTCCAATTAAGAAAACATTTTCTGTTGTGCTGAATTCATGTTACCGTACTGTGAGCTCTGACATTTTGTTTCTGTGGTAACCAAAATCAGCTGATTAGTTGGCATGGCAACAGAAAAGATGTAATCCCAGCAGACACACTCTAATCAATGCCCCCAGCACAGATGGTCTCCGGAGGATCAACAAGAAAGAGGCTGGCAGGCATTCAGTATATCACGTGGTCGCTCTAGACTAGGCCAGGAAAAAACTAAAAAAGAACATTTCTCAAACTAACCAATAGCTTTTTAACCCCTTCACTGCATTTATTAATTGTAGGAATTTCAACTGCTTGCACCTACGAAAACCAACTTTGGTCCTGTGCCTTACTGCTTGGAGTCTCGTTCTACTAACACTGGGCATTTTTAGAAGTCTTCCCCTTTTATTAATGACCATTTCTCAAACCTGAGTCGTTGGTTGAAGAGAAACCTAAAGCTTATACAAATCTGGGAAATGCCCGAGTTTGTTAGTAAGGATTAAACCCACCGAGTTTCAAGGGCTTCACCTATGAAATCCGGGCGATGGCCCCATGGTTGGGAACAGGAAGAGAATGGCTGGAACAGGGGGCACTCGTTGCTCTAGCTGTGAAGGCAAAGCTCACCCCTGCCCATCTCTCAGAGAATGTAAATATCACTGACTGCAGAAAACCAGTTTGCCTACACATAAAGTTGGAGTGTCAATAAACACAGTGAGAACAGACTTAGGAGAACTCCTAAAGCTTTCTTTACCTGGAGAAAAAATATGAAGCATCTGCCAAGTAAACAAACATGATGGTCAGGGCTTCAGTCTTTTCTTTCACTGTATTCAATTCATGGCATTGAACCGTATTAATTCTTTACAATATTTATTTACACTTTGATAAAACAATTAAAGTGTGTGCCCCGCTTTACAGGGACCTCTTGGTCTCTAAAGACAAGCTGGACTATTCATATTCTTACTGTTAGGCATGTCCTAGCCACATTTGTTTGAATAAAAATTGGAAATGCCATTTTACATATTCGCCCAATACTGCAGTATGCAGTGAGTTACTCTAACTAGGAAAACGTCAAAATGAATAAAATGCAGCTGTGGATTCCTGATTCAATACGTGATGAGAATTGTTTCAGCCCATTATATTAGAAGTTAGGGAATTTGTAGCTTACAAGTTTGTGAAAATGAAGCAGTTCTTAACTAATACAGTTAATTTGTATTTTTGCATTAAAAAACCCCTTTGTGGTAGTTTCGCTGGGCCAAATGCAGACATGATCTAAGCAGCTACACAGTCCACTGGAATGCTGCTTATCATAGGAGGTCTGCTTTGTTCCAACACCAATGCTATGAGAGTTAGGAGGTTACCTTTGGGTACAAGATCTGTGCTCTCAGTATGTCTGCTAGAAGTTACACATGCACAGCTGAGACAACATTCAGCTCTAACTTATTTCATCAAGAGTAATATATTCTTTTCTCCCTATTTCCAACAACTACTGTGTTTTATTTCAAATTTGCTGTTACTAGCACAGTCATATTGTAAACATACAGCCATTAAAACCCCCTAATTTTTCTCCTAGAATCCAAATCACATCCCCACCTGAACTTTTTACTGGGGTACAGAAGTTTATATTGGAATCCACAACAGGAATGTCAGGGCTGAAGCAGGCTGTGCACTGCTAGGGCTGCAGTGCAGATGGAAAGGCTCATTGCACACAAAAGGATGGTGCTATGGGATGAGACTGTGGCCCCCCTCACATGAGGTGAGCACCCAGCCTGCTGCCTGCTGCTAGTCTATCTTTGACTTGCTGGATACCAGCCTCCTTTCCAAAGTAACAGCACTGTAATGTGCTGCCATAATAAGTAAAATAAACTAAATGAATTGAGAAAAGCATGCTGTATTTACTGATTCAGAAAAAAAAAAAAATCTTTTATTTGCTATTGCATTAAAGCTAACACAACGGGAAGTGACACAGAAATCATTTTAGGGAGCTACACAAAGCAGCAGCTACTATATACCCTCGTCACGTCTTCTGCACATGGCCAGCATGCACAACTCCTCGTGAGCAATGAGGTGGCAAAGAGGTGCTACCTAGGAGTATCTGGTCTCTTTGCATCTCTCTCTCTCTCTCTGTCTACGTAAGTCACAGAGGGCTGGAGCGGGAGAGCTGGAACACCATGGTTAAACACACACCAGCCGCTTCCTCTCCCTCTTCTCTGAGCCCCACCCCAAGAGCCATGAAGAGGGCAGGGACCCAGATATGTGCTAAAACAGTGTATCGCCATGAGGGCCCCAGTCATGAGGCCGTCAGCAGCCAGTGCCTTTTTTGGCTCTAAAACCTCTGCTGTCCTGTGGGCTGAGGGCAACGTGGATGGGTTATCTCCTCCTGCTGCCCCTTCTCCTTTTGTGCTTTTCTCCATGCAAAGGTTAAAACTCATACAGATGAACAGGTTCAAGGAGCATCACTGGCACAATTACATTCTGAAAACCAGTTTATTGATTTGTTTAAGAATATTTTCTTATTTTGAATTTTTGAATTTGTATTTTCCCCTTTTTCAGTACTGTTTTTTATAAATGTATGGCACTTTGTTTAATTACAGGAATAGAAGCAGCCAGTGCATGAAGATAAGTCACTATCAATTACAAATACTGAATATTCACTGAGTGCCAGATCAAGAGCATGTTTCAATCAATTAACTCCTTCCATCGACTTCACTGCCCTTTGGACCAGCATCCTACCATATGAAATCACTATTTTCCTAGACATTTCTAATCCTCAGACTGGGTAAGTATCAAATGTAAAGCATACCATCCCACATGTTAGGTACCAGCAAGAGGAAATCTCACTGTAGCTTTAAAACCAAGTGCAAAGAAAAGGAGATGGGCATGTGGAATTTAATGCACATACAACTGATGGTTCTGGCAACCTGGCATTATATGCTTCTCTTGCAATCTTCCTGGGAGAATTGCAGAGGATGCCCACAGAATTTTCCAGTCACGCAATGAATATAGAAAATAGTAATTAAATGGCTTCAAGGGGTTTCAGTATTAGAAATAATCTCAGTCTACCAGAAAAATGCAACAGCCAATATTTTTCACCCTTATACACACTGAAAAAGAAAAAGGGAAAAAAAAACCCCAAACCCAAACCAACAACATGCTTTATTGAGTCTTCCCTGTTACCTTCGTAAACATGGGTTTTCCATGCTGAGTGACCATGGTGCATTGATCACAGTCCACTGTGATGGATGAGTTGTGGTATGACTCTTTTGAGTGCTTGAGAATGTAATACAGGTCTGTTACACCTCCTTCAAAGACAGTGCTAAAATAACGAGGAATGAGGGTCCTTCCAATTGCTGTGAGGAAAATACAAAGCAGAATTCAGCAAATGCTCTAGGTTATAAAATCTCAAACCATTTGCTAACAGAACATGAATAATTTTAAGAGCAATGAAATCAAACTTTCATTTAACAAATATAATACGGAGTCTCTGCCTGCTGTAGAAATGAAGTTGCGCCTGCCCCCACTGAAATCAATGAAAATGGCTTACTCCATTCAGAGGGAGTGGGCTCATCTTATTCAATCTTTTTACACTGATGGCGAGTCAGAGTCACTCTTGAAACCATCTGCAAGGTTTTTTGTCCCAAAGTAATTATTATACAGAAAGCCACATGGTGTCAATTATGATTGAAAGTTGGATATTACTCATAAATGTATAAATACAAGTGGTGAGCATTTACAGAAATATACTCGTACACCCAAAAAGGCAAAGCACATTTATATAGGAGGGTTGTGTACACACACATGTTTGTCTGTGTGTGGGCACGTATGTATTTGTATGTACCCAATCACACGCACACACACACACTATTGATTGAATAGGAGGGCTACTGCTGAGAAATCAGAGTCCTGGGGATTGAAGAAGGACCTGAGATGCAACACAACGTATGTTACACAATATATGACTACACACAGACCTATCTGAGATCTCCCTTTAGAGCAGATGTATTTATGTCATTGGCTAGAAAGTCTGAGTAGATGACTGAACTAGCCTACACACACCACTTAAACACCAAACTATGGACTCGAGGTACCCAGTTCTGCAATATTTCCTCGGGCAAAACTCCCACTGAAGTCACACCAGCGACAGTAAATACTACAGGATCTAATTCCAACTACGTAATAGTGAGCTGCTGGGTTTGTTTCAGATGCACAAACTAGCAGAAGCACTGACATCAAATGCAGTTCTCTTGCATGCAGCTGAATTTTTCCATCTCCTTATTTACAGATAAATTTGGATGCAACCACAGCCTGGCATGACAGACACTTCAGTTTATAATAGACCAATATTTCCATACCAAATGACTCATTGCCTTGCATGCATTAATCAATCCACAGTAATTCTGAGTGGTGGATACATAAAAATTGCCTCCATTTTACAGAGGGAAAAACCATGCGATCTGAACTGTGTTTTAGAAGAATGAAACAGAAAAGTCATCATCAACAGGCAAGACTGGAGTTTATTAGTTCCTAATTCTTCTTGATCTATTGGGACAGTATGGTGACTCATAGCTCTCTCATTTGCTGTATACTTTTGAGAGTAATTTCTAAAAAAATTATTTTCATAGGAATTTTGCCAGCATACAAACAGAGGCTCCTGACCCTAAAAATGTATTTGCAAGTGGGTGTTGTAAATTAAAAAGTATGGCATTTTCACAGTAGTTCTGTGAAAAACGTTTCTGCTCTGTGCGTTACGATGTGGAATATTGCATGTAGTCATAACGCACATTATATAACGAAAATACACAAATACTGAAAATTAGGATTTGTTAAAGTTTTTGCTGCAATATTAGATATCAATGTAATTTAATGTACAAAAATATACCACACCCTCTGGAATTGGCTGACAATCCAACTAATATGCTGAATGACCATTTTACAACTCCAGCTCCTAAAAAACCCCACCCACTTACCACTCATATGTTAATTTTCTACAGTCTTTTAATTTAATTTAGAAAAACTGAAGTCCAGTGAATCAGCATAGGGCTCAATTCAGGCTTTTACTCAATTTTTTTCATGTTGGCATGGTATATAGCAAAACGTGAAATTTACCCATCAAGTTAATTTCTTGCTCCCCTAAGGCTAATTAGTGCAAATTAAATTTCCTGCTAATCATTCTGAGCAGCTAATGTGTGATATGAAAATCCAGCATTCCTACTGATTGTGATAAACTTTATTCATGTAACTTCTGCACTGCATAAATATCTTGAAACCATTCTAACTGCAGTTTATAGACCATTCCCAAAGTAGTATGGTCATATGGTGTTGCTTTTTGGCTTGTATTCACAGCTACAACATGTTAAAGCAGGCTAGAAATACATGTAATACCTTACTATTTTTCTTAGTAAGCATAATATATGTTTGCCACAGGGATGTGCTACTGTGAACAACAAAGTGGGAGACCAAAAGGCTGAAGAGGAATAGAGGTGCACACAGGGATATGCCCCGTGGAACCTGATTTTCAATGACAGATGCACATACAGACCCTCCCTCCCACACCACACTTAGAGAATCACAGAATGGTTTGGGTCTGAAGGGACCCTTAAAGGTCATCTAGTCCAACCCCCACTTTCCTAAACGAGCATCATATGGACACCCTCAGAGCCAGCACACAGATCTTCGCCACAGGAGCTCTGAAAGAGAGCATTTCATAGAATCACAGAATGGTTTGGGTTGGAAGGGACCTTAAAGACCATGTAGTTCCAACCCCCTGCCATGGGCAGGGACACCCTCCACTAGACCAGGTTGCTCAAAGCCTCATCCAGCCTGGCCTTGAACGCTTCCAGGGATGGGGCATCCACAGCTTCTCTGGGCATTTGCCATAGCACTTTGAGTATGGCGAGACTAAACTCCTTTCCTGGCATCAGGGCCCTGACTGCACCTCTGCTACAGGGTTGGGCTGCCAGGCAGATTTTCTTTCCAGCTTCTTAGGGGAATCCTTGCCTAGATACTGCAAGGCCTTCTGCCTACCTCCTCATGGAGATCCCTGACGTGGGATCTCCTTCCAGTATTGTCTCCTATCCAACTTTATTCTTTCTCCAATCTCTTTGCTCACCTACCCCATGGTCCAATACTATGTTTTCTCACCTTAGGGTTCATTGCTTTGCATAGTTTATCGTCAAAGTTCACTGTTCAACTCCCAGTATCTCCCAGTCTTCTCTCCCCCTCCTTGCAATGCTGCCCCTTTTTCTGTTGCTCAGGGAGGTTCATCAACCCTTCCCAAATCTACCCAATTTACTCAGTCTCCTTATACAAGCAGGCCCAGCTACCTAGTCTCAGCCTCCTTGTTCTCCTCCACTCTCCCCAAAACACCACTCACGCACGCTTTCTCAGTGCCCTTCCTACACAGCCAAGGCTGCCCCAGCTCCTTGTCCCAGACTCCCTGCCTCAGCAGTCTAAGCCTTCCTGCTGGATCTTGATCTTGTGGTTTTTGGCCCCCAAGATTCTCTCTCTGCCTTTCTCCCCACTCTGCCTCCTCCTAACAGCAGATCTTTCTCCAAATTAACCTCATTTCTCCTTCCTTCCTTCAGCTCCTCATCCTGCTAAGCATCAGGTAAGAGGACCTCTTCTCTCTGTGCCCCCTATCCAGCCAAACATTCCCCATGTTTTTGTAACTGACTTCCAACACTCCATTACTTAATCATCCTCCATCTTCTCCTTTTGTCTTCCAGTTAATATTTCTGCCCCCTCTCTCACATCAATGCCGTCTTGCCCTGATTTTCTCCCTTCTCTTTTCTTTCCTCCTCTTCCCTCTTACTACTTCTTCTACATTCACATCAAGTGGTTTCTTTCATGGGCCACCTGGATCCTGGGCGCATCCGCCAGCAGTGCAGGAGAAGGAAGGGCTTCCTGCTCTCGTGTGTAGCACTGGCTGAGCCTTCCCACAGGCTTTGCAGTGGAAAGGTCCGTGACTCCACACAGCCCTGAACCGCAACACGCCTGGTTACACTTTGCAGTTGGCATGTGGATAGCCCCACTGGGCTCCTATGAGGAGGCTTACTATGTTCCTGAGAAAGAGAGTCCTTGGCAAATTTAGCTGTCAAACTCTAGTGAAGCCTGCACTGAGCACTTGAGAATGGGCACCTTTTTTCCCTCAAAAAAGGTAGGAGGAACTCCTACCAAAAGGTGAGCAACACTATTCCACAGTATACATATTCTTGGGCATTTAAAAACAAAGCTGCAAGACTTTTGTAACACAGACAAAAAAAATATTTTTCCATTTTGAGGGAAAGAAGAAATCCTTTTTTGCTAAAATTAAAAAAAAAATTAGCTAACAATTTCAGCTTTACTGGGTCAAGTTTGGCAAAATTATGAATAAGTAGAAAGAAGTCCTTTTAATGAGACTTATCAAACAATATTAATAATAGATGCTATATCATCTGCCTGCAAGAATACATTAGGATAGCCACGCATGCAGTTGCTGAGGTTCTGCACCCAATATTCAGGCTTAGGAAAGTAGACGTAGGTTCATGCCTGCACCTATACAAGTATCAACAGGCTCTTACAGTCACATTACCCAGAAAAGACCTGTTTACAGTGTGAAATGTGACCCTCTGCATTGTAAGATACTGAATATACTACAATGAAAATTCACCTACCACTCAGCAATCAGACATTAATTCCAGAGCACTGGGATGCTGCTTTAAATTACCATTTTGTCCTGGGCAGCATCCTTCACCCCTAACTGAGTACTGAGGATATACTATCTCCCATGAGAAGCGGGCACTGCCCCTTAACGTTTGCTTCATTTGTGCTAGCAAATCCCCAGATAGCAAAGCAAACCGACAAAGATCAGCTGGATTTAGCAACAGGTAATAGTTATTTATATGAAAATGTCTGTAAGAAAGGCATATCTGGTGACTCACAAAATAGAACGCCGTCGTCTGCCGGAATGACGTACCTTTAGCTTGTTCAGTGGTGTAACAGCTTGGCTATGTGTGATTTTGTATAACTTTCAGGTGGATCAGAGATGTAAACACAATTTTAGAACAGAAGACAAGCTGATTTGTGACACACCACCCGAATATGAGCAGTCCAGAAATCAGTCCAATCCAGGAACACAGGCAAGAAGCTTTATAGGTCAGTAAGAGTTATATCATATGTAATTTCTTAAGTATAATTCCTGGAGAATTCTAAAGAAAAGAACAAAACCATCTGACATATTAAATGACCCAAGAACTGTCTCTCAGAGAGGGACATGCTTAGGTCATGCTCCTGCTTTTTGGCCTGGGCATGCAGCAAAATGATTAGGGTGCCCTTCTGTCATCCTGATCCTAGAAATCATTATTTTCATGCT